GCATCACCTCCAGTGCTGGATTTTCCACAACACTTCGTCCTGATTGATCCTTTTGCCTTCCGTGGCGGGCGTTTAAACTTGTGTTTCACTTTCCACCCGTTTTATTTCTCTCATTTATGATATGGGTGTGTCTGGTGATGTCCCGCATGGTCACGTAGGGGTGGTAAGGAGGCTAGACCATCCCACATACATCGTACCTCCCCTTTTATATTGGCACTACACCAAAATTCCGCAGTTGGACAGCAAAAGCAGAGGAGGAGGAGGAGGAGGAGGAGGAGGAGGAGGTTGTTAGTACACGAGCGGTCCAATAGTCGCAGCGGACGCCACCACGGGAAGGAAGCAGTTGTACTCTGTGTGCACTCAAATCTCCCTCACACACAGGCGGGCATACGTACGTCAGACGTTCTCCACCTGCTGCCGTAGGTGTTGTCCCGTACGGTTACGGAACACTTGCCTGAAAGGTAAACAAGTGCTTGATTTCATCAGTCATTATATTTTACAGTATAATTCATGTTCATTCCAGTGTTTTGACGATGGAGTAGAATGAGGCTTGCAGGGTACGTTTCATAACATTGTGTGTTTGTTTTGAATGGTTCTACAAAGGTAACCATAGTCCCGTGTCGCAAGAGTGTACGAGGGTGCAGGCGCGGCCCTGGCTTCAGTTATGCATGTCCTGTTCCCTCCCTACAACTCACTTAATATCTTCCTCTTCTTGAGCCATTTAGTCCGGTCCACCGCTGTCCGGGACCAGGACTCAGGGCTCATCCTATTAATACACCTGAACCCTCGCAAGCAAAAACTCACCGGACCCACTTTGTACCCAAACACTGGCGGGTGCAGGTAACTGCCACCTCCGCCAGCCATCCGAACATGCATTCGTACCCTAGCGCGGGGTGGAGAGGGAGGTATGTGTATACGGTCTTACGTCACATTGGGTGACACCCTGAGTGTTTTAAGGGTGTGTCAGGGTGTGCTCATAACCCCGCTGGAAAACAAGAATGCAGCACCACTACCCCATCGAGAACTTTATTTCGTTTTGCTCTCGTTGTTGTTTGCAGACTGCCATCCTCCCTCCCTCCCCAGTTAGACCAAGCAACACAACTTAGTAATAGCGCTCCTCCGGCCGCGTGCTTGTATGCTAGTGAGGAACCTGTGCTGGCCTCGCTCATCTACCAAACTCCTTCATGTACTACACTGCTTCTCCCCCATCCATCACACTGCTCCTCTCCCTCATGTACTACACTGCTTCTCCCCCATCCATCACACTGCTCCTCTCCCTCATGTACTGCACTGCTTCTCCCCCATCCGTCACACTGCTCCTCTCCCTCATGTACTACACTGCTTCTCTCCCATCCATCACACTGCTCCTCTCCCTCATGTACTACACTGCTTCTCCCCCATCCATCACACTGCTTCTCTCCCTCATGTACTACACTGCTTCTCCCCCATCCATCACACTGCTTCTCTCCTTTATGTACTACACTGCTCCCCCACCTATCACACTGCTTCTCTCCCTCGTGTACTACTTCTCCCCATCCATTACTGCTTCTCCCCCATCCACAACACTGCTTCTCTCCCCCATCATCCTCACTCAAGTCTTTTGTCTGTTGAATAACCTGAGAGACTCGAGGAACAGTGACGTTTCAAGAGCCATAAAAATATACATTGCGAACAAGCCATGAACAATTAAGCAGCTGTTTGATACGAAATATAAGCACAGCCCAACTCTTCCTGGCTGCCCTTGAGGGTGGGATGGGGGAGCCTTGATGCCGGTGAAAGGCTCTTGATCTAAGGAATGGAAGCTACACTCCCCTTTCTGGGATTCGACCTGATTACCTCCCATTCCTCAGGCGCTTTACGATCCCGACCTTTTTTTTTTTTGTTAAATTGTTTTAGAAGAAAGGAAGGGAGAAGGAGGGAGGGAAGGGAAGGGGGGGGGCAGATAAAGATAGGTTCACCAGCCTACAGGACATCGGTACCAATATAAACAACAACAACAAAAATAAGTGATTTTGAATAAATAGATCTTGTTGCCTCCGTCGTAGCTGCCTCGCTTATACCTGCCTTGCTTGTAGCTGCCTCGCTTATACCTGCCTTGCTTGTAGCTGCCTCGCTTATACCTGCCTTGCTTGTAGCTGCCTCGCTTATACCTGCCTTGCTTGTAGCTGCCTCGCTTATACCTGCCTTGCTTGTAGCTGCCTCGCTTATACCTGCCTTGCTTGTAGCTGCCTCGCTTGTAGTGGCAATTAGAGGTAATAATGATAAAGCTGGATCATAAAAATGGTTAGGATAGAGATGGATAATGTGGAATTTGATATATGTATTGAGTAGGGTTTGAGGGTAGATAGTTGGAAGAGTACGGTAGTCGAGAGTAAATAGATGAAAAACAATGAGGTAAAGGTTCGATAGATGGAGAATATGATGAAGGCTCATGGGTGGGTAGATGGAAAAATAGGATTAATGAATTGATGTAGGAATAGGGTGGAAAGTTGGAAGAATAAGATGGGTTAGCATATTTTAGTGAATTTGTGTACTGTGGGTGTTAATGTTTTCACAGTGTGTGTGTGTGTGTGTGTGTGTGTGTGTGTGTGTGTGTGTGTGTGTGTGTTTAAGACCGAGTTTGGCAAGTGTTGATCACCTGCGAGGCTTGTTCGCCTGTAGATCTTATTTACCAACAGGCACATTTTTGTATATTTTTTTAGAAATGAGAAAAATGAGCAGCAGATGCAGTGGAGTGCAAATCAGTGGAAGGATTAGCAGAAAAAGGATTAGCCTCAACAGAAGCAACTTTCAGAAAGGGAGAGACTACACTAGATGCAACGGCAGCAGGAAAAGCAACAGAAACAGTAGTTATGTAGCAACGGTAGCAGAAGCAACAGAAATAGCAGCAACAAGAGGAGCAACAGGAGCAGTAGTGATGTAGGACTGCAGCTGCGTTAGTGTGCCGGGCCACCGCCGCTACCACCCTGCGAGGGCCCCTTCTGAGGTCGGCGTCCGACACCGCTTGTCGACCGCCACACCGGAAGACAGGCACGCACGCGTGCACGCGCACGCACACACACACACACACACACACACACACACACACACACACACACACACACACACACAACACACAACACACACACACACACACAACACACACCACACAAACACACACACACACACACACACACACACACACACACACACACCACCACACACACACACACACACACACACACAGAGGTAATTGCATATAAGGTTTTATCTAGTATTTTCCTTAGGTCAGGCCTAAGTGACCACTGTACTTATACCAGATATAATTATCTTAGATTCCTCGTTACTTGACAGATGTCATGTTACCTTGTAGCTAATTCGTTTCTTTGTAGCTGAGTAGTCATCTTGCAACTAGTTTGTTACCTTTGTAGTTGGGTAAATGAGGTTTGCATCCTTACCATTTCACGTAACCCTTCATTATTTTAATGCCTTATTTGAATTCATTTTAATGTATTATAATCTTTCGTATTAATTTTATAAGGCATACTGTTTACCCCCTCATTATGTTTATAGTTATAATATACGGAATGTTAAATGTTCACAAGAACGTAATCTCATATGACTCTTTGTTGCTATGATCTTGAGCTGAAGGCCATTCCTGTGTGTTTGTGGGAGACGAGGAGGGGCAAGGGATGAGTAAGGGAGTGGGGCGATAAAGGGAGGGACGAGGTGGGTGTACAGGGAGGCAGAAGAAAGGCGTAGGGTGGGCTGGAAGGGATGGGGTTGCTTTAACAGGTTGGGGGAGGGGGGTTGATGGTGAGGGTGTAAAGCTTTGGACAGGTTGGGGTAGCAAGATGGGTGAAATGGTAAGGGTTGAATGGAGCAGGAAAGTTAGCGAGGGTTGGACAAGAGGGAAAAGGCTAAGGCAGTGTGGAGATTTGGAAGAGAGTTCCTCATGCTTCGAACTTCATATTGACTTTAATTCCTTCATTGGTATTCACTTTGACCACTTGGATCATTCTTGATGGTGTAGCACCATCCTCCCCAACACAGGTTTATCAGAGGCAGAACAATACGTCCTCCTTGGTCTCATCAACCATAAATCAGAGGAAATAGTTGCAGGATATAAAGAAGTTAATATCAACAGAAGCCTGACCACAGCTTATTACCCAGCACAAAAGAAGCTACAGTAATGCTGTCTCACCGGCAACTTACAGCGTCCAGCTGCAGCTGTGGTACTACTCTGATCACACCAATTCGGGAAGAATTTGTACTACCACCTTAAAAATGCACAAGATTCACAAATCACTACAGCTACATTCCACTAGGTTTGGAGGCTCAGCGCGTTAGCGAAGATGTGCTCTCTCTTGTTCTGAAAAGAATCGGATAGTAAATTGAGTAGTGGAAATCAAGGATTCGAAAGTATCATTAAGGAAGCAAAATGGTGTAATATTTCGACGATTTAGGGCGGTTTGGAGCGTTTTCTGACATCAGTTTTTTTTTTTAGCTACAATAACTGTCTCAAGGATATATATTTTTCACAGCATATACATTTCACATATACATGTTAGGGCTCATAATCTCTTCAAGGGGGAGAAATGTCTTGATGCCAGTGAAGAGCTCTTGAGCTGAGGAGCTTGGATAAAACCTGTTTATAGTGTTTTGCTTTGAAAGTAATCGAGTTCATACTCTTCTTATTCTTTGGAATTAAACATTAGTTGTTTTTACATTCTGTTTTTAAAAGAAATATAATTAAGTCTAACTGAACATGAGCACTTGTCGTTTTTATTATTGTGATTTACTTTGTTGAAATTTTCAGATTTTTGGTCTATTATTTTTTATTATTTTTTTCCAATATACTAGACTCTACCTTGATGTAAAGAGTACATGAGAGGAGTTAAGTTGCTTTCATGTTCCATGTGGTGACCTGCATCCACATAAAATATGTAATCTGTTTATTATGCTTTGATGTGTGTTGAGTTAATATGAGGTTACTAAGAGTGGTGTTCTCTCTCCCTCAGATGTTCTTCAACACCACATTATGGTGGCCGAGACTGTGAAGTCCTACCCTGTCAACTATCCGGCGCTGATCCCCCTCTCGCCCTCCGTGGCTGGCCTGGGGCCTTACAACCCTTGCTCCCCCTCCCTGATCCACGCTAACTACTCCTCTCCTCACATTATGGACCAAAAGCCCGCTCAGCAGCAACAGCAGCAGCAACAGCAGCAGCAGCTTCAGGGAGGTCAAGGGCCCCAGCTAGGAGGACCCCACAATGGGCAGGATACCCCTGTGGGCCTTGGTGCTCCAGGACTGAACCTGCCCTCAACACTTGATCTAGCGCAGCTGCGTAAGAAAGAGATCTTCGCCCAGCGGAAGCAGCGAGAGTTTATTCCTGACAGCAAGAAGGACGACTCTTACTGGGACCGTCGCCGCCGCAACAACGAGGCAGCCAAAAGATCCCGGGAGAAGAGACGCTTCAATGACATGATCCTGGAGCAGAGAGTTATTGAGCTGTCAAAGGAGAATCACATCCTGAAGGCTCAACTAACGGCCATTAAGGAGAAATATGGCATCTTAGGGGAGACCCTGGTGAACACTGATCAGGTTCTGGCCAGTATGCCCCAATCGGAGCAGATTTTGGCACTCAACAAGCGAACAAAGTTCTCCCAGGCACTCATTACTCTTAACAGCTCTCCCTCCGTCACATCCCTCCTCAGCCCCAGAGAATCCTGCGACGGGAGCCCTGCAACACCTAGTTATCACGGGCAGCAAGAGCCAGAGTCCTCCCCGGCACACTACTCCCACTACCCCTCACACTCCCAAATGGACGACCAGGAGAGTACCTATGACGCTGACCAGCAGTTCACGTCCTCCGACAGTAATCTCTACTACGGGCAGTCCGCCCTCAATCTCTCCTCCCGTGCCTCCTCTCACTCTCCCCACTCTCCTGCCACATCTCACATGGATTTCTCTCCCAGTGACCCAGAACTCAGCCGACGATCCCCAGAGGCACCAGGCATGTCCTTGCCTCACAAACTGCGACACAAGAGTCACCTCGGCGACAAGGATGCCGCCCAGTCCCTCCTGGCCCTGCAGGCCATCAAGTCTGAACCAAGCGAGCACCAGCAGGAGGCCGCCGAAGACTCCGTAGGTTCCTCCGATGAACGGGACTCCGCCATCGGTTACTCTTCCTCCTCCTCGTGCTCTGATTACAACCGGGCGTCAGATAACAACTCTTCACCACCTACTGCCTGCTCTCTGCCCGACAGCAGCAGTAGCCAGCAGCCTCTCAGCGTTGCTCACTATCACCAACAGCATCTACACCATCACCACCAACATCATCATCACCAGCAACAACAGCAGCAGACACACCACCACCACCACCAGACGCAACATCAACAGACACAACAACAACAGGAGCAGCAGGGGGAGGGAGAGCAGGTTTTAGAGTTTGAGAACACTCACCTTAGGTCAGAACTGGAGCGACTAGCAACTGAGGTGGCCACCTTGAAGTACATGTTAGTCCGCAGACCGCGCTCGAGGGTGATTCTGATGGATCCCGTTAACACCTCAGCCTATGCTGGTACCGCTTATTTTTTAATTCCGTGGCGGTACACGCGCGTCATGACTGACATGAGTGCGTGTACTGTGCGTGTCATGATGGGGACCTGGCTGTGACATGGGTACATACATACCCCGTGTTTGGGTATGCGCCCGTGTGTCTGTGAAGGGGTCAGGGAGACCATCCGTGTGATATTCAGACGTAGGTCACCCCCATGGACTAATACCCCAAAACAAACCAACAAACAAGAACTACTAAATATTCGTGTACTCTCCTGCGTGTGTGTCTGTGATGAAGCGCCTGCGTGTGAGTGTCTGATGGTTTGTGTGTGTGCATGCGTGTGTGAGTGTGCCGCCGAATCAGGGCGTATCTTGATACTCTAATTCTTATCTAATGTTTAAATATAATGTTATTACTGGACACACGTAAGAAGACCACGTCTGTGTATGTTCTGAAAATCTGTACATAAGTGCCATTAGATAATATATGTTTTGTGATGCTAGTAGTCATTTGTTTCTCTATCCGTCAACAAAGTTAAAACACTGATACCACAACACAAATATACACTAAAAAGGGCGCTGTGTGTGACCTCTGCAGGTTTAGCGCTTTCCTATAAGAATAAAGAGATAACTACGAATATTTCCTTCAAGAAGTGTACCTTGATGCTGAGTGAAGGGATCGTAATCCGAGGAATTGGAGTTACCTCACCCTCTCGGATCAAAACTGATAATTCCCACCATTGTCCAGGCGCTGCATGGCCCCTAAGGGTTTAACGCTTCCCCATTAACAAGAATAATGCATAATTCCCCCCCCCCTTCTACTATTCCTTGATGCTGGCCAAGCGATCGTGATCCAAGGAGTCGGATCCATGCTCTTTTTGGATCTACAGGCGCGGCATTACCCCTATGGGCTTAGCGCTTCCTTCTCGCCTCTTTAAAGGGGAGTGTCTGGATGCTGGTGAAGGGGTCTTGATCTGAGGAATCGGAGCTACCCTCTCCAGAACAAAATTTTATTATTGCATTGTGCAATATTGTTAATGATAATAATTGTTGTAGTAAACAATAATAATAATTATAATTAATATAGTAAATAATTATAGTAAACAATAATTATAATAAACGATAATAATTATAAATAAATGATAATTACAAAAAACGATAATTATAAACGATGATTATAAATAAATGATAATTATAAATAAATGATAATTATAAATAAATGATAATTATAAATAAATGATAATTATAAATAAATGATAATTATAAATAAATGATAATTATAAATAAATGATAATTATAAATAAATGATAATTATAAACGATAATTATAAACGATGATTATAAATAAATGATAATTATAAATAAATGATAATTATAAACGATAATTATAAACGATGATTACAAATAACTGATAATTATAAATAAATGATAATTATAAATAAATAATTATAAATAAATGATAATTATAAATAAATGATAATTACAAAAAACGATAATTATAAACGATGATTATAAATAAATGATAATTATAAATAAATGATAATTATAAATAAATGATAATTATAATGATAAATTAGAGCGAAAATATAATATATTAAACAGGAAACTATTGCAGGTGACAGAGTGAAAGAGCAGGCAGGAGGTGGTGGATGTGTGGGCCTGCCTGTTGCAAGCAGCAACAGTTTCGTTGCAAACAGCAACAGCTTCGTTGCAAGCAGCAACAGCCTCGTTGTAAGTAGCAACAGCTTCGTTGCAAGCAGCAACTGCCTCGTTGACCAGACGGTCATCGTGGAGGCCAGGCCGATCAACTGGGAGTTCTGGTCGGTCAACAGGGAGTCCTGGTCGGTCAACAGGGAGTCCTGGTCGGTCAACAGGGAGTCCTGGTCGGTCAACAGGGAGTCCTGGTCGGTCAACAGGGAGTTCTGGTCGGTCAACAGGGAGTCCTCGTAGGTCAACAGGGAGTCCTGGTAGGTCAACAGGGAGTCCTGGTAGGTCAACAGGGAGTCCTGGTAGGTCAACAGGGAGTCCTGGTCGGTCAACAGGGAGTCCTCGTAGGTCAACAGGGAGTCCTGGTAGGTCAACAGGGAGTCCTGGTAGGTGAACAGGGAGTCCTGGTCGGTCAACAGGGAGTCCTCGTAGGTCAACAGGGAGTCCTGGTAGGTGAACAGGGAGTCCTGGTAGGTCAACAGGGAGTCCTGGTCGGTCAACAGGGAGTCCTCGTAGGTCAACAGGGAGTCCTGGTAGGTCAACAGGGAGTCCTGGTAGGTCACAGGGAGTCCTGGTAGGTCAACAGGGAGTCCTGGTAGGTCAACAGGGAGTCCTCGTAGGTCAACAGGGAGTCCTGGTAGGTCAACAGGGAGTCCTGGTAGGTCAACAGGGAGTCCTGGTTAGGTCAACAGGGAGTCCTGGTAGGTCAACAGGGAGTCCTGGTAGGTCAACAGGGAGTCCTGGTAGGTCAACAGGGAGTCCTGTAGGTCAACAGGGAGTCCTGGTCGGTCAACAGGAGTCCTCGTAGGTCAACAGGGAGTCCTGGTAGGTCAACAGGGAGTCCTGGTAGGTCAACAGGGAGTCCTGGTAGGTCAACAGGGAGTCCTGGTAGGTCAACAGGGAGTCCTGGTCGGTCAACAGGGAGTCCTCGTAGGTCAACAGGGAGTCCTGGTAGGTCAACAGGGAGTCCTGGTCGGTCAACAGGGAGTTCTGGTCGGTCAACAGGGAGTCCTGGTAGGTCAACAGGGAGTCCTGGTAGGTCAACAGGGAGTCCTGGTCGGTCAACAGGGAGTCCTGGTAGGTCAACAGGGAGTCCTGGTAGGTCAACAGGGAGTCCTGGTCGGTCAACAGGGAGTTCTGGTCGGTCAACAGGGAGCCCTGGTCGGTCAACAGGGAGTCCTGGTCGGTCAACAGGGAGTTCTGGTCGGTCAACAGGGAGTCCTGGTCGGTCAACAGGGAGTCTTGGTCGGTCAACAGGGAGTCCTGGTCGGTCAACAGGGAGTCTTGGTCGGTCAAAAGGGAGTCCTGGTCGGTCAACAGGGAGTCCTGGTCGGTCAACAGGGAGTTCTGGTCGGTCAACAGGGAGTCCTGGTCGGTCAACAGGGAGTCTTGGTCGGTCAACAGAGAGTCCTGGTCTGTCAACAGGGAGTTTTGATCGATTAAAAGGGAGTCCTGGTCGATCAACAGGGAGTCCTGGTCGGTCAACAGAGAGTCCTGGTCTATCAACAGGGAGTCCTGGTCGATCAACAGGGAGTCCTGGTCTATCAACAAGGAGTTCTGATCGATTAACAGGGAGTTTTGATCGATCAACAGGGAGTCCTGGTCGATCAACAGGGAGTCATGGTCGGTCAACAGAGAGTCCTGGTCTATCAACAGGGAGTCCTGGTCGATCAACAGGGAGTCCTGGTCTATCAACAAGGAGTTCTGATCGATTAACAGGGAGTTTTGATCGATCAACAGGGAGTCCTGGTCGGTCAACAGGAAGTCCTGGTCGGTCAACAGGGAGTCCTGGTAGGTCAACAGGGAGTCCTGGTCGGTCAACAGAGAGTCCTGGTCTATCAACAGGGAGTCCTGGTCGATCAACAGGGAGTCCTGGTCTATCAACAAGGAGTTCTGATCGATTAACAGGGAGTTTTGATCGATCAACAGGGAGTCCTGGTCGGTCAACAGGAAGTCCTGGTCGGTCAACAGGGAGTCCTGGTAGGTCAACAGGGAGTCCTGGTCGGTCAACAGGGAGTCCTGGTAGGTCAACAGGGAGTCCTGGTAGGTCAACAGGGAGTCCTGGTCGGTCAACAGGGAGTTCTGGTCGGTCAACAGGGAGCCCTGGTCGGTCAACAGGGAGTCCTGGTCGGTCAACAGGGAGTCATGGTCGGTCAACAGGAAGTCATGGTCGGTCAACAAGGAGTCCTGATAGGTCAACAGGGAGTCCTGGTCGGTCAACAGGGAGTCCTGGTAGGTCAACAGGGAGTCATGGTCGGTCAACAAGGAGTCCTGATAGGTCAACAGGGAGTCCTGGTCGGTCAACAGGGAGTCCTGGTAGGTCAACAGGGAGTCCTGGTCTGTCAACAGGGAGTCATGGTCGGTCAACAAGGAGTCCTGATAGGTCAACAGGGAGTCCTGGTCGGTCAACAGGGAGTCATGGTCGGTCAACAAGGAGTCCTGATAGGTCAACAGGGAGTTTTGGTCTATCAACAGGGAGTCCTGGTCGATCAACAGGGAGTCCTGGTCGATCAACAGAGTCCTGGTCTATCAACAGGGAGTTTTGGTCTATCAACAGGGAGTCCTGATCGATCAAAAGAGAGCCATGGTCTATCAACAGAGTCCTGGTCTATCAACAGGCAGTTTTGGTCTATCAACAGGGAGTCCTGGTCGATCAACAGAGAGTCCTGGTATATCAACAGAGTCCTGGTCTATCAACAGGGAGTTTTGGTCTATCAACAGAGAGTCTTGGTCTATCAACAGAGTCCTGGTCTATCAGCAGGGAGTTTTGGTCTATCAACAGGGAGTCCTGGTCGATCAACAGAGAGTCCTGGTCTATCAACAGAGTCCTGGTCTATCAACAGGAAGTTTTGGTCTATCAACAGGGAGTCCTGATCGATCAACAGAGAGTCCTGGTCTATCAACAGAGTCCTGGTCGATCAACAGGAAGTTTTGGTCTATCAACAGGGAGTCCTGGTCGATCAACAGAGTCTGGTCTATCAACAGAGTCCTGGTCTATCAGCAGGGAGTTTTGGTCTATCAACAGGGAGTCCTGATCGATCAACAGAGAGTCCTGGTCTATCAACAGAGTCCTGGTCGATCAACAGAGAGTCTTGGTCTATCAACAGAGTCCTGGTCTATCAACAGAGTCCTGGTCTATCAACAGGAAGTTTTGGTCTATCAACAGGGAGCCCTGATCGATCAACAGAGAGTCCTGGTCTATCAATAGAGTCCTGGTCGATCAACAGAGAGTCTTGGTCTATCAACAGAGTCATGGTCTATCAACAGTGAGTCCTGATCGATCAACAGAGAGACCTGGTCTATCAACAGAGTCCTGGTCTATCAACAGGGAGTTTTGGTCCATCGTGATGAACAACTCTTAAAAACTGGTCACAAAAATGCTTTGGTATGAGTAGAGATGTAAGGCGCAGTATGATGCTCACCCTGCGTCTGATGATGCTCACCCTGCGTCTGATGATGCTCACCCTGCGTCTGATGATGCTCACCCTGCGTCTGATGATGCTCACCCTGCGTCTGATGATGCTCACCCTGCGTCTGATGATGCTCACCCTGCGTCTGATGATGATCACCCTGCGTCTGATGATGATCACCCTGCGTCTGATGATGCTCACCCTGCGTCTGATGATGCTCACCCTGCGTCTGATGATGCTCACCCTGCGTCTGATGATGCTCACCCTGCGTCTGATGATGCTCACCCTGCATCGGATGATGATCACCCTGCGTCTGATGATGCTCACCCTGCGTCTGATGATGATCACCCTGCGTCTGATGACAATCACTCTGCGTCTGGATGATGCTCA